CCCCAGTATTACAAGGCCTCAATGGTAACCCCAATAATGACCCCAGTATTACAAGACCTCAATTGTAACCCCAATAAAGACCCCAGTATTACAAGACTTCAATGGTAACCCAAAAAAAGACCCCAGTATTACAAGACCTCAATGGTAACCCAAATAATGACCTCAGTATTACAAAACCTCAACGGTAACCCCAGTAATGACCAATAATAATTCCCATACAGACTGCATTACAGAACCAAATGCCGACCCAACTAATGGTGATATGTACTTTCCTTTCATGGCTGATTCACTCAATTGTTTCTATATACACAATTCTCAATGTCAACTATTGCAATACATTTTTATTCATGTTAATACACATATCCATATTTACTTAGACAATTTGTGTTACTTCTGTTTTCATTTATTCTAATGATAATTTATTGTGTTTCTGTTTTTCAGTTTAGAAGACATCATGATGCTACAAAAAATAGCAAAAGAAAATAACATGGAATATATCCCTCTCATTCAAACTTTTGGTCATTTCGAGGTATGTACGAAACTACAGTCCATTGTATGAACTTCTGTAATATTATTTTTTATACATTCCCACACTTAAAATAGAACTCTACCATAAAAAAGTGTGTAGAATAATTGTATGTTTGTACTATAGACTTTCTGTGATCTTCAATTCATCAAATTGCCTTTTCTTTGCAGTTTGTTTTGAAACATGAGAAGTTCGCTGACTTAAGAGAAGTGCCACAGTATTCACAGTCATTGTGCCCATCAAGGCAAAGTAAGTCAACAATATTCAGTCATTGTGCCCATCAAGGCAAAGTAAGTCAACAATATTCAGTCATTGTGCCCATCAAGGCAAAGTAAGTCAACAATATTCAGTCATTGTGCCCATCAAGGCAAAGTAAGTCAACAATATTCAGTCATTGTGCCCATCAAGGCAAAGTAAGTCAACAATATTCAGTCATTGTGCCCATCAAGGCAAAGTAAGTCAACAATATTCAGTCATTGTGCCCATCAAGGCAAAGTAAGTCAACAATATTCAGTCATTGTGCCCATCAAGGCAAAGTAAGTCAACAATATTCAGTCATTGTGCCCATCAAGGCAAAGTAAGTCAACAATATTCAGTCATTGTGCCCATTGAGGTCCATCCAAATAAAGTATCTACATACCAAAGCAATTGAGCTGTTAGTTTTCAAGAGGATGTCTAGACTGTCGACAGTCGGTCGTACCTAATATTAATCTGTTATTATTAATAAATATTGTGTGTAAACGTAATAAATTGCAATTTCTTGGTAAGATTTCTCACCACATCCTGGTACTTTCATATGCAAATGAATAGTCATGCAGATGTCTATCATTTTATCGTGGCCAATCGTGAAAAGGGTCAGAGGTCGCTGGCTACTAGAATCGCCCATGTCTCACACAAAGTTTGTTTTGATTGTACTATACCGTATACGCGATTGCGACACTTTCCACAGCAGTTTTTGATATGACACAAACAAATCTTGACGAAAGTGCTGGAACGTTTAGACTACCATAATATTTCTTGCAAAAAATACCAGCGAGACACTATCCCAAACTACAAAGAGAGGGGAGATATGTTCGTCAGCGTGCCGTGTTGACATTCGTCTTGTCAAAATTAACTCGTTTCAAAACCAAGGATCCCTCACTTTCAGTTGCCATTCTCTTAGAGGAAAATGCCAGCGACCTTTCCAATAAATCTCGATTAGTTTGTTGAAATTTCTTCCCAAACTCATCCATGTTTTTATGCAGAGTTGATTTAATAGTTTTCTTTGCTATTTTGGTTGGAGTGACTGTATTTATCGTTTTCATAAATTTGCATACATTATGTTAAATATAATTTATTTCGTGATGTCAGCATCAACTATGAATTATTCATATCAACTAAGAAACCTGCAGAAGGGGACAGTCTCTCGGGACTAAAGTCCCTCGTGTGAAATGGTTCGCATTTCCCATCAAACGTCTTCCGTGTTTGAATGTCTAGGAAACACAATTACATTAGGCCCAAGGACTGTCGACAGTCTAGAGGATGTCATAAAAAGCATTTTTTACCAAAAATTAAGGATGTAGTCAAGTATAAAGGATATAGTCCAAAGTATCCAAAACCAAGTATCAAATAAAAAAAATAAAAAAATTATTGATGGACAAGAAACAGACAATGGACAATCTCCTATGTGAACAACTCCACTTTGTCATCTTCAATTACCTCGGCGCTAAAATAAAAAACAACCAGAAATTGTACTGGTTATAATCTTCCAATCCCACCCCATGATATCATATATTTGGACATGCATTTATATCTAATTAGTTTGAATTGTATACCATTAAGTAGCGGGACTATTATTTGCATACTTATTTTCATCTTCTAATTGTGACTAAATGACT